TTTTTTTTTTTTTTTTTTTTTTTTTTTTTTTTTTTTATGTATTATTTTTAAAGTGAAAATATATATGCATTTATTTATTAAATACCTTAATATTTTTTTTTTTTTTTTATTTTCAAAAAATACTTCTAAAAATAAATAAGAATATTTCCTAATTTTTTTTTTTAATTCTTTTATATAAATAACTTAATTTTTAGTACATTTGATTTTTTTCTTATATATTTTAATTATCAAATTTTTAAATATTATATGTTCCCATTCTTTCTCTTTTTTTACATATGAAAAGTATATTTTTAAAATAATAATTAATTTCAAATACTGATATATATCTAAAGTATCTATGAAATTCATTTATTTGATTGTATATTTAAGAAAAGTAAAAAAAGGAATTATTTTTATATTTCAATGAAGCTTGAATTTCCATCCTAACAAAAATAGTATATTTAGATATAAAATTTAAGAAAAAATCAATTACATAAAATGAAATTATTGTACATATAAGCTTAAATGATTTTAAAATAATATACAAAAAATTATACGTTCATATATTTTTTTTTAATTTAAAAAAAAGAAAAATTGGAATACATTTTGTTTTTCAATGAATATATATAATCCTTTTAAATTCAAAGAACTATTATAGATATTTAAAATATAACTTTTTTTTTTTTTTTTTTTTAATATAAATATCCTTTTTTTATTAATTTCATTGAAAGATATTTAAAATTTTTTATTAAATATTAAAATGTCATACTATATATTGTATGCACATATATTCATGTTTTAAAATGAATATATATTTTTAAATTTTTGTTTTTTATTTTTTTTTTTTTTTAATTTATAATTTTTTTTTTTATTGTATTTAAAAGGAAAAATAAAATATAAATATATAAATAGATAAAAAAAAAAAAAATAATATAAAGTAGAAAATATTATATTTATATAAATATTTTAAAATAAGAAAATTATATTAAAATGACAAACAATTACTTGGATAGGTTGGATTACGATTTTAAAATAAAAGATGTTACTAATATAAGGGATATAAATTTACAAGCTAAAGAAAATAATATTGAAAGTTTTCATGAAAAAATTTTATTAAATGAAGAAAAAAATTATTTAAAAAGAACTGGATTAATATATGGTACTCAAGAGGTATTTAAAAATATAATGGATAGAGAAATAGTTGCAATATCAAGAAGATTACCTGGAATAAAAAGTAGTTTATTATCTTTAGATATTTTAAGAAATACTATTGATAGAATAGATTCCCATGAATATATGGAAAAGTTAGTTGATCATACAACAGAACCACTTTGTGAAATCATAGAAAGGAAGATGAATATATAAATTACCTGAATTATTTTTATACTTTTTTATTTTTTCACCTATATTATATTTATATTAATAAAAATATATATATATATATATATATATATATATAATAAAAGAAATATATTAATATATATAATAAAAGAAATATATTAAAATAAAAATTATTATAAGAAAAAGTTTTTAATTCAAGGAAATTTTTTTTTTCTTTAACAAAAGTTTTAATTAATGAAAAAAGAACCTTTTTTTTTTTTTTTATTATATTTTAATTTTTTAAGTATTAGTGCAAAATTTTAAAAATGGTAAAAGGTGATGCACTCACAAAAAAAAAAAAAAAAAGCATACGTATATATTTTTACTTAAAAAAAAATTTTAATAGTTAAAAATGTTAAAAATTAAAAGTGTCATAAAAATAATATGTTATGTTAAAATAAAAAAAATGATACATATATATATACGGAAAAAAAAAAAAAAAAAATAATTTAGGTTTTTATGGAAAAATACTATAAATTTTTGGTGAAGTATTTACCAATCACCTGTATATGCATTAATATTATTATACTTATTATTATTTGATAAAATATCCTTATGCATAGATAATGTTTGTTTGTTTCTTTGTGATTCAAGTTTAGAACACTGTGTTATTCTATGACCCAATCCACCACAATAAGAACATCCCTTTACACCACCTATTTCTTTCAAATTAATTCCTTTGCTATCTAACATTTCTAAAAATGGAGGAATTTTTTGTTTTGCTTCAATTAACAATGCTTTTAAATCCAACAAAATAGCTTCCTCCTGATTTTTGTTTATAAAAGTTGTAGCTATTCCTGTTTTACCACATCGTCCTGTTCTTCCTATTCTATGGACATAATTTTCAATATCTTTTGGCATATCATAGTTAATTACATGTTCAATAGAAGGAAAATCTAATCCTTTAGAAGCTACATCTGTTCCTACTAAAATATCTTTTTTTCCTTCTCTAAACAAATTAATTGCTTCTTGTCTTTCATTTTGACTTAAATTTCCATGGATGGCAATTGCATTTACTCCTTTTAGCAATAAATATTCGTGTACATCATCTACATCTTTTTTATTTTCACAAAATATTAAAACAGGTGGTCCTGTTTTCTGTAAAACTTCTAATAAGTAAGATAATTTAAATTCTTCTTTTACATATTCTACTTCTTGTATAACATCAAGATTAGCTGCACCTGCTCTTCCAACATTTATTATAATAGGATTAACTAAAGTAGATTTAGCAAATTCTTGAATTTTTTTAGGCATAGTTGCACTAAATAATAATGTTTGTCTTTGATTTGAAAAATGATCTAAGGTATTACGTACTTCTTCTTCAAAACCTAAATCAATTAATCTATCAGCTTCATCAAAACATAAATATCTACACTGTTCAAGAGTCATTCTTTTTTTATTTAACATATCATTAAGTCTACCTGGGGTAGCAACTATCATATGAACTCCTTTTTGCGTTTCTCTTCCTTGATCAAACGCACTAATACCTCCAATCATGCACAAAGATTTTAAAATGGGATAATTGTCTTTATGTAAATAATCACAAAAATATTTTATAACATTATGTGTTTGTGTAGCTAATTCTCTTGATGGACATACAATAAGACCAAATGGACCCTCTCCTTCTTCAATTTTGCATCTCATTTCTCCTTCTAAACATATCATAATTAATGGTAGAACAAATACAATAGTTTTTCCACTTCCTGTAAATGCTATACCAATAATATCTCTTCCTGTTAATATAGAAGGTAACCCTTGCATTTGTATTTGAGTTGGTTTATTAATCTTTTTTTTTTTCAATGCTTTTAAAATAGCTTTGGGAAATTTCATATCTTTAAAATTTTTAATAGGTGGTGGTATATCATTCCCACTAACATCAATATAAAATATGCTTCTTATCTTATCTACATATTTTTTTTTTAACTTTTTATATTTTTTAGGTAAATTCCATATTGTTTTGAAATTTTCTTTATATATAATTCCTTTTGCTCTTTCTTTTACTGATTGTAATGGAGCATTTAATGCTTTCGATACTTGTGCTAATATTTTTTCTTCTCTTTTTCTAATTTCTTCCATCTCATCTATTTTATCATTTAATGATTCTAATCGTAATTTGTTAAATGTTTCTAATAAACTTTTTTGTAAATCAATTTTTATTTCGTTTTCATTAGTTTTATTGTTTTTATTATTATTATTATTATTATTATTATTATTATTATTATTATTATTGTCACCATCATCGTCATAATTATGTTTTTTGTCCTCTTCACTATAGTTTTTATTCGATTCTTTTTTTTTTTTTGTCTTTATAAAACTATTTACCAAATTATCCATGAATCTTTTTTTTCGTATACTCAAAGGTTCATATATAAAATCATCACTACTATCATCCTCTTTGTTACTTTTTTCATTTCGTAAGTTTTTTTCATCTTTATTTAAATCCATCATTTTATCAACCTTCTTTTTAAACTTTTTATTCAATTTTTAAATTGTATAAAATATTTTCAAAAATAGCAATTATTTATAAAAATAAAACTTTAATGATTTCATTTTTTTATTTATAATATAACATTAAGAAAGCATATAACTTAATTTAAAAAAAGAAAAATATTTTATTTTATTTGTTTTTATAATTCTTTTTATATTAACGAAAAAAAAAAAAAAAAAAAAAAAAAGGAATTTATTTATTAAATTTAATGAAATCATAAAAAATTATTTTTTCTTTTTAAATAAAGAAATATACTTTTTTTTTAAAATATAATGAAAAATATTTATTCTTTTCATTAATTAATAAGCTATATTTATTTTTTAAATTAAATTTTTGTAAATTTATTATTTTTTTTTTTTTTTTTGTTGTAGAATCTTAAGCATTCTATAAATCTATTAAAAACTTTAAGGTGTTCTACGAATTAATTGTAATGATTATTAAAATGAAATAAAGAAAACTTTTTTGAAAATGTTTCATTTATTTTGAAAATATTCCAAATGCAATAAATTAAAATACAGGAATTCCTTAAGAAAAAGAAGAGCATACATTTACAATTATATAAAAGAAAACTCCATACAACTGAAAAATTTAAAAAAATTCTCATTTATAAAATAAAAACTTTTATTAATTATTTTTTATTTATGCTTAATGAGGTTGTGATTATATATTTTTTTTTTTTGTTTTATTTTAAGATTTTGAATTATTATTGTAAATGAATTTATTTTTAAGTTGATTTCTATTAATTAAAAAGACTAAAATTCATCACAAAGGTACATAAATGTTTAGATAAAATAACCAATAATGAAAATTCTATATTATTAAAAATTTTATAGATTGTATAAGCGAAATTATTTCCCATATATTTTTTTACCTAATAACTGTTTATGGATTTAATGTAAATTTGTTAGCTTATAAATATATTATTATTTCAAAATAATGAACAGATAAAATTTCTTTCTTTTTCTCATTTTTCGTTTCTTCTTTTTAAATTTCCTTTAAGAGGTATCTGGTAACATTTTATAATATTATTTTAGTATAGAAATAAGTAAGAAAAAATATTTTTCTTTAAAACAGAATATAAAATTTTCATTTTTATGAAATTACATTATAAAAAAGTTTTGATCATATTAACTATTTCAGTAAACTATATAGACCTTAAATAAAATATAAAAAGAAAAATTCAAATTATTCTTCATCCATTTCAATATACGTGTATATATTGTTTATTCATGATATCATTTTGTATTTTTTTCTTGTATTTAATAATACAAATATAAAAAATGATAAATAATTTTATTTTCTAAGATTATTCATTTAAATATATACATATAAAAGAAATAAATTGCAGAAGTATTAAATTTAGAAAAAGTATAATTTTGTGTCTAAAGTAAATTACTATAAAATATTTATTAGAATATTATATTTTCTAATAAACAGTAGCTAATTTTAATATATTTATTTTATTTTTTAATTTAGACGTTTATTCTTCCTATATCATTGCACCAATTTGCAGAAACGTAATAATCACTTTAAAGAATTAAATTAAAGTTATTAACACTTTATGAAAATGTTAATAAAACTTTTGAAAATATTATTTTTCTATTTTAAACTAAAAGTATTGTAGTATAATAAATAATTGTTATCATTTAAAATAAAAAGTTTATATATTTAAATAAAAATATAAATAAAATTAATATTTATATATATATATACATATGATAATATGAGTAAAGTTAATTTCCGTATAGTAAGATTTAAACTTAGCACATAGCAATTTCATTATGAATTCATATTATATATATTTCTTTTCTATTTTATTTTTAATTATGAAACTTTTTATAAATTTATTGTTCTAAATGTTTTAATTTTAAAATATTGATTATTCAAATATGCTAAAATAAAGACTATGAAATATTTCTTAAATAAAACTTCGAAAAATAAATAAGATTAAAAAAAATAAAGAATTGTAAAGTACTTAAAAGATACGTAGAATAAAAAAAATAAAGAAACGAACTATAATAAGAAAAATGTAAAACATAAAATAGTATCTAACAACTAAATAATCCTCAATTACATTTATTAAATTTTTAAAATAAATAAAAGAAAAACAATTTCTAATGAGTTTCGTTTATATAAAAAGGATCCTCTATATAACGTTCAGAACAAATTAAGAATTAAAAATTAAAATCAACTTAAAATATTAAAAATTACAGATATTAGTTAAAAAATAATAATTGTATCTATACAAAAAATTTATGGGATCCTTTTTATTTATAATTAAGAGTTATACAATAAGACTTGTAGTTTTATAGGAATATTTTTATTTTAATTTTATAAAAATTATGTTTTTCTATTAATTTAAATTTCTTAAGCACGGGTGCCCGAGTGGTTAAGGGGGTGGACTTAAGATCCTCTGGTCACTAGACCGCGTGGGTTCGAACCCCACCCCGTGCAATCTCTTTTTCTATTAAGAATCAAAATTTATTATTAAAAAATATCCTATTATGAAATTATATATTTATAATAAATATTTTTATATATATATACTGTGAAAATTTGGTTGTATATTTTATTAGAATTATTTTTACTTATTATGGATATATTATATTATCTTTTAAAAGTATATATTACCTTCTATTGTTTATTAAATTTATAAATTTTTTATAAACTATTTTTAAATTTTATTTTTTATATACATGAGAAACAAGTGTGTCACAAAAAATTGTTTATTATTTATAAAATTAAGTTTAATGATCTATATAATTTTAATTATTAAATATATGTAACATACAAGCAAAAAATTTTTACTGTGGAATTATTTTTTTTTTTTTTATTTTTATAGTAACTGTAAAATAAATGAATTAATATTTCTAAAAGAATTAAAATATTATAAATCTAGATTTAATGTATAAAATTATCTTTTTTTCCTATAAAAAAATTAAAAAAGATATTTCCCACGCCGGGACTCGAACCCGGGTCGTTCGGGTGAAAGCCGAATATCCTAACCGTCTAGACTACGTGGGATACATTAATATGCTCTCAAAAATTATTTATGATACTTATTTTTTTAAGTTAAAAATTATAATAAAATATATATAATTTATGAATTTGAAAAATTATGTGTTTTTATTATTCTTTGGTATTTATATTTTAAGTATTTGAGTTAATACATAACCTCACTTATATTTATTTATTTTTTTGAAGTCAGTGAATAAAGGCTATACTTTATAACGAAAAAAAGAAATATTTCAAAGGTGTTTATTTTTATATAATTGTTTTTACATAGAAAAAAGTAAAAGAAAATACGAATTTTATTTTCTTAGATGTAGGAATATATAAGAAAAAAAAAATTATTTTACATAGCTAAATTAAAATTATTATATTTTAATGATAAAAATTTTTATGTTTCCTTTTGCATGATGTGGAAGTGCATTTTTAATTTTATTTGAAATAAAAAGAAAAAAAAAGAAAATCTTATTAACGTAATAATTATCATATTATAATTTATATAATTTTTGAAATTTTCAATATTTAAAATTTATATTTTTTCAAAAATTACTAAAAAGTATCTGTATATATATGAATATATGCGTGTACATTTTTTTTCAAGCATTTAAATTATTGGCTTGCATTATAATTGTAAATGATAGTTATTTTATTTGACTTTTTAATTATATTAGTCAACTGTTATTTTTAATAATTTTTTACTATGTTTATTATCTGAAACTGTATTATATTTCGCTATATATAACTATAAATATGCATGAATATATATATATATATATATATACATTTTTAAATGTTTATTTATTGTCTAATAATTTAATATTATATCAAAATATATTTTGAGTAAATATAAAAAACTGCATATAAATATTTTAATTTCTTTTTTAATTATAAATATAATTGCTACCCATGAATACACAAAGTGTTAAGAATATTACTAGCATAGAAGAGTTACTTTTTTTATATGATTCTTTGATAAATGATGGACATGTTGTAAATATTAAAAAATATAATATAGAATAATAATAAATATTTATTAATATAAAAATAAAATGAAAATTTTATTATTAGTAAAATGTTATAAATATATAACAAAAAAAAAAAAAAAAAAAAATTCATGGTGAAATGAATATTATAAAATTAATGAAATTTCAAAAATTTAATAGAAATATAATAAAATGAGAAAAATTAAAAAAAAAAAAAAAAAATAATAATAATAATAATAATAATAATAATAATAATAATAATAATAATAATAATAATAATAATAATAATAATAATAAACTAAATACAAAGCTTATTCATATAAAATAACTAATTGTACATATATGTACAATTTTATTTAATAATGTGAAATTTTTTTTAGAATTCTTATTTTATTAAAAATGAAAACTAATTTAAAATATAAATCATTTTCTTAGATTGTTTTATTATATATATATATTTTTATTTTTTTATAGATTACAGTCGTGAATGTCAAAAATTCATTAAAACTTCCTTCTGATTTGTCGCAAAAGTATAATATTTTAACAACACATAAATGGGAAATTTTTTAAAATTATATGTTATATATTTTAAAATTCTTCATCTTGTTATTTTATATTGTGTTACTTTATTTATTCTTTTTTTTTTAATTTTTAAGTTAGTTATATATATTATTTTATTTATTTATTTTTTATAAGATTTATGAACTACTATTACGGAAATAGGAAAGACCAATTATCTGTTACATACTTGGTTGAAGGATATAAAAAAGACAGTAATGAATACATTTGTGCTATTTTGACTCAAAAGGAAGTTTTAGGTAAAATTTCATTTTTGTGGTAATTTATCTTTTTAATATATTCTTTAATTATTAATCTTTTATTTGATCTATAGAACTGCAAAAAGAACAAAATGAATATTCTATAAAAATTTATAGCATACAATCAAATAAAAGCAAAATAGATTTATCAGTATTATGGAAGCAAGTAACTTTAAAAATAATCATAAAAATTATATATAAATGAAAAGATCCTTTTGAAAATATGTGAAATAATTTTTTTTTTTTTTTCATTAATTTTAGGAAATAAATGAATTAAATAAAGTATTTGAAAACACTGATTTAAAAAATCAACTATTAATTCCTCAGTAATTTTTTTTTTTTTTTTTTTTTTTTTTTTATATATAATTTTATTATTTTTATAAGAAAAAATTCTACCAAATGAATAAACAATTTTATAATATTAAAACAAAGACATATATTCGTTTATTTTTCTAGATTTTCTGATATTATATTAGGTGATTTAGAAGTAAAAAATGTAGAAAATAATTTAAATTCACAACATAGTTTTCTTCAAAATGAAAAAGAAATCAAAGACAATAATAGAAAAATAAATGTTAAGGAAACGGATAATAATAAAAACAAAGATGATAATAATGTAGATAAAAAGATAGATTCTATAAGTGAATATAAAATTAAAGATAGAATCGATGATGAAAGAACAAAAACACTTATTAAAAAGGAGATCCATATTGAAGATAAAGATAGTAATGAAAGCGAACAATTAAAAAAAAATATTGAAAACGACTATTCAAAAATTGTAAATTCATTTAGAAATGAAAATTCAAATTTAAGTAATGATTCTGATAATTTTAAACAAAGTTCAAATGTATCTAATAAAAGAAAACTTGAAGATAGTAATTCCTATAAAATAAAAAGAGAAAATCTGACAGTAGATTCAGTGAATAATGAAATAAATAAACCCATATGTGAAGTTAATTCAAAAACTATGAATAAATCTAAACCTAATAAAAGTGAAAATGAAACACTCACTAATAACATTTTAATTAAAAAAGGTATAAATAATGTAAATTTTTTATTTTTCTTTAAACAAATTTACTATATCTTGTTTTAACTTTTTTTTTTTTTTTTTAAATAAATAGAGAAAAAAATAGATGAATCAAATAAAAATAGAATTGAAACAAAACTAAAGAAAACCAAGTTGGAAAGTGAGAATCTATAATAATATAATTAAAAAAAAAAAAATAAATAAATAATAGAAATTTATCTATAATGACTAAATACTTAAAAAGAAATAAATATAGCTTTATAATACATATACTATATGTAAATCAAAAGTGAATCAAGTGGTATATATTCTTGTTTATTTGTACATTTTGTTTTTTTGATATATTTTTTTTTTAGTTAAAAAGACTGATGTAAAACCAGAATTGTTTCAATCTGGTAATAGTTTAAAGGAGAAAAAATTAAAAATCTCATTAGATTATGGTTATTTTTCAATTTTAAAAATGTTTTTTTAGATTCTAGTGATGATAATGAGAATAAAATTTTAGAAGAAAATGAAAAACCCTTGAAAACATTTCCAAAAATTAAATCAGTATTTACATTAATATTAATTATTTATATTTACATAAATTTATATAATTTGATAATCATTTATATTTATAATAGGTAAAAGAAACACAAATGTTTTATGAAAATGGGTATCTGGTGACTGTCGATAAAGATTCATGTATTCATATAGATAGCTCAGAATCAAATAATAATGATCCTAAAAAAGTTATCAAAGATACTACCTCATCAAATAATAAAAAGAGAAAAAATCTTCAGCAAACATTATTGACGTAAATTAATAACACTTAAAAAAAATAAAAAAATTATTTCATACGAACATTAATATATATATATATATATATATATATATATTTGTATATAGGAATTTTTTTAAAAAGAAAAAGTGAAATAGATATTATAGAGGTCACAGGATTTTCTAAATTTTTATTTATTTATATATCTTATTTTATTTTTTTTTTTTTCAGTTCATGTTTTTTAAAAAAAAAAATTTTTTTAAAACGAATAAATTAAAAAAAAAAAAATAGAAAATTATAATTAAATGTTTGAATATTAATATTTATATATTTTTTTCTTTATACTATATAATTAAAAGGACACTAATTATATAGTGAAATGACTTTTCAATTATATTATTAATTTTACTTTAAAAGGAAAAAATTTTGGAAAACTTTTATATTAAAAATTTTTAAATGAAATTTTGCTAAATTTAATTTTTTCCATTAGGACTTGATTTTCCCATCATTTTTTCGAAATCTGAATTTTTAAAATTTTCAAATAAGGCCTTATATTTTGGATCATTTGCATATTTAGACAATAGTTGAGGGTTACTCATCATACTTTGCATCATTTGAAAAAACTGAGGATTATTAAAAAGTTCCTTCATTTCCGGTGAATTTAAATCTGGCATTCCCCCAGGCATGCCTCCTGGCATTCCACCTGGCATTCCTCCTGGCATTCCTCCAGGCATTCCTCCTGGCATTCCACCTGGCATTCCACCTGGCATTCCTCCTGGAAATCCCCCTGGGAATCCTCCTGGAAATCCTCCTGGCATACCTCCCGGCATTCCTCCTGGCATTCCTCCTGGCATTCCTCCTGGCATTCCACCTGGCATACCACCTGGAAAATCACCAGAAAAGTCTGGCTGACTATATGAAGAATCAGATGAATCAGAATCATAATTTTCTCTTTTGCTATTTTCTTTATATGCTTTTTCTGCTGCTTCTTTAGCTGCAAGTCTTTTTTTCAATTCTTTTTCTCTTTTTCTTCTTTTTTTTTCTTCTTCTTTATTTATTTTGTATCTTCTCTTTTCATATATTTTTTTATATTTTTCTTCTATTAATTTTTGCATTTCCCACAATTCTTCATCATAATCAATTTTTTGTCCTTGTTCAATATCTGCATGTGCACTTTCCCATTTTCCTAAATATCTGTATGCCTTTGCTCTAGTTTTATAAGCATTAGCACTATCTACATTTAAATTTAATGCTTCCGTACAATCTCTTATGCAAGCTTTTGGCCTTTTTAAACCTAATAAAACAGAAGCACGTTTGGTGTATATCATAGCAGAAGGATTTCCATATGATATTATTTTATTATATTTTTCTAATGCTTCTTCTAATTTATTTTCCTGAACTAATTTGGAGGCTTCAATTTTTAAATTATTAATTTCTTCTATTTTTTCTTCTGAAAATTCTTCTTCTACATTTGGAGCTAAAGGAGGGCATTCAATACTTTCTTCCTCCATTAAATCTGGGCAATTTTCTTCTTCTTCTTCTTCTTCTGTATCTTCCTTTTCATCATCATCTGATTTCTCTTCAGTGCTTTCATCACTTGGAACTTTCTCATAAAAATCTTTATTATTTGAAACTTTTCCTCCAAAACTTTCAATAAATTCTTTAAAAAAAGATAACTCTGGTTTTAATAAAATGGATGGATCTTGTTCACAAAAAGAAACAAATTCTTTTAATTCTTCAACTAAAGAAAAAAAAAAATATATAAAATTATATAAGCATATATATATACATATATATAATAATAATAACTTAAATTATATAGATTTTTTTAAAAAAATTTAAATATTTAATGAGAAAATATTCATATAATTTTACTTTTTTTATCATCCAACATTTTTTATAATTGGCTTCTTGGAAAATATTTCTTGAATATATTATTCAGTTAAATAAAATTAAGATTTTTGAAGTTATATTAAAATAAACTCTTATAAAAAGGAAGTACTTTACATAAAAATTATAAAATCAACAATTAAAAAGTTTGAAATCATGCAAATGATTTTTAATAAATTTATAAAAAAAAAATTCTTCAATTAAATATTTTTTTTGTACTTAAATTCATATAATTGAAAATTCAAATTTTTAAATATTTATATATATAGGAATATTTTATTTTTTTACAAAAATATTCCTGCATGATTAAAAATAGGAATTTTTTTTTTTTAATTTTCGAATACATGAATACAAATTATTAAAAAAAAATATATTTCATACACTTACAAAAAGAATCTAAAAGTATTTTTTACAAAGTAAAGAATTACACTATAACTTTTTAAAATAATTTTAATTACCATATAAATATGATATATAAAAAAAGCAAGATTATCAAGTAAAAATATAATGAAATTTTTTAATTCGAAAAGTAAAATGAAAATTAAAAAAATAATATTTTGGTTTTAATTTTAAGGTCATCTATTTAATTTCAACATGATAATAAGAAATTCATTTATTTGATGATTTCTACTTAATTCTAAAGATTGCTTCTTTTTACAAAAAAGACTGAAAAATAATATATATAAGCCAATTCTTTATTCTATCTTTTTCTAGTATATATTTTTTTTTACCGTAAAAGTTATATTATGAAAAAGAAGATTCCTTTTTATTACTATTAAAAAAATATATTTAGAATAAAAAATATAGCAAAACGAAGTAAAATGTGCCTATAACATTTTCTATTTTAATTTATGTTATTCTTAGGACACTTTTAAGGGATTATTTTTAGAAGCTAAGTTTAATAATATTCGTAGTGTGTTAATCAAAATTTTTTAATAAAGATTTTTATATCTTCTGTAGTATTTTTTTTTTTATTTGTTAGATATATTTCTAGTAATTCATAAGAAGTTAATATTTTTCTTTTAATTTTTACATAAAAATTAATAGACTGAAAATATTTTCATTTCAATAAAATACCAAATTTAAGATTCTTCTAAATTAACTTGAATTATTTTTTTTTTTTTTTTCATTTTATTTCTAATTATTTGAATTATAATTAAATAAAAAAATTAGTACATTTTTTCTTTTATTAAAAAATAATTTATAAAAATAAAAAATAACTTTTGTGAGCTTTTATATTTTTTTTTTTTTTTTTTTTTTTTTGTTTTAAATATATAAGAGGCAATATATTTTTTTGTTTAATTTACTGGACACAATCAATGACTCACTGTATAGGTATATAATAAAAATGAGCACATTTTATAAACATTTAAGAATATAATAAACAAATGAAAAAAAAAAAAAAAAAAAAAAATTATAATTAAAAATAAAATTATATTTTATTTTTTATACTGCAATTATATAAATATGCTAATAGGAAATTAAAAAATTATGACATTATTTAGTATTTTTTTACGCTTTGCTTTCAATATTATCATATATAAAATTATTTTTACGAGCACATTTTGAAAAATAATAATTAAATGAACATGTAATTGCTGCAAAAATAATAGTAAAAATTAAATAATAATAAAGCTTAGCAAAATTATTATCTTTTGACATTAAAATAAAAATATCATCTAAAATCCCCCATATGCAGACTGCACATATAAATGAGAAACAATCAGCCATAAATCGAAGAATACATTTTATACTAAGTTCATTAATATTACAAAAACAATTATATATAAATTCTTCATTTACACAATATGATTCATCATTTATATCCTTCTTTAATTTTTTGGGACTATCTTCACCTAAAAATTTTAAATCTTTAACATTTTCTTCAATTTCATCCACATTGATTATTGTACCATTATCGATATCAAATTCTTCTTGTATACATATCTCTGTTGATTCATCTGATCCATTAAAATCTCTACTGTTGCTCCTAATATATATTTTAACATTGTTATTTAATTCACAAGTTTTACTCATTTAATTAAATATAAAAAAAAAAAAATAATTAAAATAAAATAAAATGGTATATTACTCTCCTCAAACCCTTATTTTTTTCTATTTTTTTTTAAATATGTATTTATATAAACTCTAAATAAATAAATGAATTATATTATAAAACTGAATTCATATATATATACTGATCAAAATGTATGACAACAAATATATCTTATTTATGTATGTCAATTTAAGATACTTATAGTAATAATTATAAGATAGTAAAACAAAATATATAATTCAAGAAAAAATGTTATATATATATATACTATATTTTAAAATTCCAAATGAGGATAAACAGCTAATCAAGTAGATATAAAATATATGAAAAAGAGAAACAAAAAAAAAAAAAAAAAATAAATAAATAAATAAAATAACAAAAAAACAAAAGAAGTTGTAAAAAAGAAACAAAATAGATATGTTTATATATGTATATATGTTTAACTTATATTAATTCTAGATATTTATAAATATACTAAATTATCAAAATGTTCTATTAATTTTTTATCAATTATAGTAGTATTTTTTTATTTTCCTCAATTTTTTAAAACGAATCAACAGAAAATGAAAAAAGAAATTAAATGATTATCGTCTTCTATCAGATTTTAGTATTCTGATTCCATATAAATAAATAAAACCGTGAGAGAACTAACAATTTTGTTGGTGTCAGAACATTTTTTCTTTCTTTTTTTGTTTGAAAAAAAATCTGTGTTTTAAGGACATAATAAAAAATCGTTTATCTCTGTATGTAAAACAATTATTTAAATATATTTGCAATCCCTTAGGCATCCCTGATTTATTTTAAATAAATTAGTCATACGGTTTTTATTTATTCAAATTATTTTTTTCTTGTTTTTTAAAAAAAAAATTTTAAATATCACTTGAATGTTTTTTTTTTTATATATATAATAACACAATTTATATATGCTCTTAGGAAAAAAAAAAAAAAAATAATACAAATACAATTATAAAATTTTTTGATGTTACAATGTTTCTTTTAAAATATCCTAAAAAAAAAAAAGTAAAATGATTATTACCTCCTAATTTAATTTTTAAATTTTTTATTTATTATTTTTTAAAACTTTTTTAATGATTTTTTTATAAATGATTACAAATATTGTAAATAAAAAAGGATGTTTTTATAAATTATGAAATATTTAAAAAATTATTTTTACTTTTGTAAATATTTTAAAAATTATATATATATAAAGTGCATGAATTCAAAAAAAAAAAAAAAAAAAAAATAAAATAATTTAAAAATTAATTGTAAATGCATTTTTTTTTTTTTATTTTTTTTTCATGCATGGTTTTTTTTTTTAAGCTGTTAAAATATTACTTTTTATGATCATGTTTCTAAAAAAAAGTAAAAATTAAAAATTTTTAGTAAAAATATTTTTAAAGTTTTTATGAAAATATTTATTGTTTTTTTTTATTTTTTTGTATGTTTATTCAATTTATTTCATACTTATATTTTTTTATGAAATAAGAACGTTTTTACACAGATAACTAATAATAAATTTCATTGTGTTGGATACAATGAACAAAAAAAAAAAAAAAGAAATAAGAGAATAAATATGAAATTTAATCTATTTTAAAATGTCTTATTTAAATAAAAGTTTAATGTTTAAGTTTTTAAATAAAATTAAAAAGAAATCAAATATTCATACGCATATTTTAACTCCAAAATTAAGTAAAATAAAAGTTAATGAATCAAGTTTATTTAAGCCAACTTTAGAAGATGGTAATTGAAATAAAAAAAAAAAAAAAAAAAAAAAAAAAGTCATAATTTAGTTGTTAATATAACTACATTAAGAATGTTGTTTAAAAAGAGAATGTATAAGTAAATAAATCATATACTTTAAAAATTTTAGTAATTAAAATTATTGTTAAAAGTAAATATTTTATATTCCATCATGTTTATATGATTTCTTATTTAGAATTTTTAAAAACTTCAAATTTATGAAAAAATTGAACTATGGGAAATAAATTTGAAATATAAAAGATGATATAATATCTTTATATTTTTAAAAAAATTATAGATTTATTAAGTAATAAAATTAATGGAAAAAAATATATAAAATAATTTATTAATATATCCTTTATTACTTTTAATATTCTTATTCTATCTGAAGTTAATATAATATTTTTTTTAAGATTTCAATTAAATGTATATCAATAAAAAAATTTAGAAGTATATAAAAAATAATATGCATATATATATTTTTATATGAAAAAAAATATATTAAAAACGATAATTTCATAATCATATTAAATGTATTTTAGAGTTTGTTATAAAATAATGAAATACAAGAAATAGAGCATACATTCATATATTAAAATAAATAAATTTAAATTACTTTATAAAATATTCTTTTTAATAAAATATACTTTATAATAAAATTTTTTTATAATGAAATATACTTTATAATAAAATTTTTTTATAATGAAATATACTTTATAATAAAATTTTTTTTATGTTTTTTAAAGGTAAGTATGAAATAACAAAAACTCAGGAAGTTCCTGGACATATTAATTGTCCAAATTATTCCAAAACAGGAATTGTTGAAAATTGTAACATTTCCTATGAAATAAAAGATGAAGAAAATATTAAAAAAATGAAAAAGGCAGGAAAATTAGCAGCTGAATGTTTGAAGTTATGTTTAGAAAATTCAAAAAAAGGTGTAACTACTGATTATATAGATAAATTGGCTTTTGATTTTATTATAAAAAATAATGCTTATCCTGCAGGGATTAATTTTCATGGATTTCCGAAAACTCTTTGTGCATCACCAAATGAAGGTTATTCTATATAATTTTTAACTTTTTTTTTTTTTTAATTATATATATATATAATTATTATATATGTTGTAAATTGTAAATAAAGTTATATCTATGAAAATGTTTCAAATATAATATATGGTTGCAATTATTATTATGTACATAATTTAATTATGTATTTATTTATATTAAAATTTTTTTTTTTCATTTTTATTTTATTATATATATTGTAAGTATTTCACATTATTAAATTTGTATTTTATTGTTATGATGTTATATATCATTGTTCATAATTTAGTTCTTATGAGCATCATGTGGGTTATATTTTCTCATTTTTTTTTTTTTTTTTTTTTTTTTAAATTTAGTGGTGTGTCATGGAATACCTAATTTAAGAAAATTAAAAAGTGGTGATATTATAACATATGATTGTACTGTTTTTTTAGATGGTGTATTTGGAGATTGTGCAGGAACAGTAGCAATAGGAGAAGTCTCAGAAAATCATAAGAAATTAATTGATGTAAGTAAAGAATGTCTTTATAAAGCTATTTCAATTTGTAGAGATGGTCAAAAATTCTCAGAAATTGGAAGAGTAATAACTGAACATGCACAAAAAAATGGGTTTAATGTAATTAGAGATTTCTGTGGTCATTTTATAGGAAGAAATATGCATATGTATCCACTAATTGAGCATCATTATCCAAATAGTCATAATAATGATTGTATGAAAAAAGGACAAATATTTACAATTGAACCAATACTATCTGAAGGTAGTATAAACATACATACATGGAAAGATCAATGGACAGTCTGTACTAATGATAATTCTTTTTGTTCTCAATGGGAACATACTATTTTAGTTTTGCAAAATAGTGCAGAAATATTAACATTAAGTGAATAATTTAAAATAAATACATTTATATATTTAATCATATGTAAAAAAAAAAAAAATATATATATATGCTTTAAACCTTTTTTTTAAAATTATATACAAAAATTTTAATTAAATACTTTTTAATTTTATTCTAGAAATAAAAATTTTAACTTTTTTTTATTCATTTTTCTGTATTACAAAAATTTCATTTTATATTTTTTTTTTTTTTTTTTTTTTCTCATATTTCATTTTTATCCTTTTCTTTTTTTAATAAACATATTTTTTATTTCTTTTCTATGTTTTCTAAATTTTAATATATTTTATTTTTTGATATTCTCCCTTTTTCATATTTTTTTATGAATCTTAATTTTTTTGACTTTTTTTTCATATGCAAATTTTAGTTTTATTTAAAATACATATTAAAAAAAATAAATTTTTTTTTCAGTAAAAATTTTTTTTAAATTATTTTGTATTTATTGTCTATTTTTTATTTAAATATCATAAATTTTAATAGGAATTATTCCATTTAAATAAGATTTAAACTTATTAAAACTTAACCCTCTATATTATTTTTTTTTTTTTTTAAATAGCATTTTAAAAATTTTTAATTTTCCTTTCGTTTTTTTTATAATTTTTCCTTTTTTTTTTTTTCATTAGTTATAATCTATTATAGAGTTATTGTTTTTTGTAATATTGAGATTTTTCATTATTCCAACATTTCCACTACAATTATAAAAGTAATTATGAATAAAAAATTTATTTAACTTTTAACAGTAGCTCTCTAATTTCTAACACATTTTCAAAACTTATTGTAAATAAAGATAATATTATAGTTAATTTTTTTTTTTTTTTTTTTAAATATATAATAAAGAATGTGGCCTAAAATATATTTAGAAAATAATGTAAAATTTTAAAAATTTTCATTAATAATTTTCTTATTTTCAATAATTTTTTTTTTTTTTTTTTTTTTTTTTGC